AAAAAACACAATAATTACATATTTTATAAATGTTTATATACAGAAAAAGATAAAAGATAAGTAATCTATAGGTCGATCGCAAATAGGTAGATAACAATAATGTGTTTGAATATTTTTACATTCTTTCTTTTTTTGTTTCAACTTAATTGAAGCAAAACATGACACGTTATTTATTATTTTTTCTTACGATTATTATTTATATACCTAAAATATCTTCTATTGATTCAAAATCACCAATTATTTTCATTCCTGGAAGTTTTTGTAGTCTACTTGAAGTACGTATAAATACAACACTTCAACCATCATGTCCAATATCTTTACATAATCGATGGATTATTCTTTGGTTAAATCTTCGTTTTTTTGAACCAGAATTTTTAACATGTTTTCATAATATATTTAAATTCATATATAATTCTTCATTAAATTCATTTGAAAATCCATCAGGTGTTGAAACTCGTATTATTTATAATTCAATAAATGATTCATTTCTTAATGGTCTTCTTTGGGAATATATAGAATTAGATAAATTGTTTTTCATTTTATAACAAATTATAATTATACAGATGGTATAAATATTCATTCATTACCATATGATTTTCGACGAGGTACAAATAAAACTTTACTATCTTTTAATAATAATTTAAAACAATTAATTGAATTAACATATATAAAAAATATGAATAAAAGTATTTATTTAATAAGTCATAGTACAGGTGGTTCAATGATATTATTTTTTCTTTCACAACAATCACAATTATGGAAAGATCAATATATTCATGGATGGATATCATTAAGCGGAAATATAGCTGGTGAAATTGATAATATACAAAATTTAATTCAAGGTTCTCTTTCACCTATTTTAACACGTGATATTTTTCAAACATGGGATTTTTTTGCTTGGCGTCTACCAGAACCAATGATTTATGGTTCTGAAAGAATTATTATAAAAACACCAACAAAAAATTATACATCATATGATATGTTAAATTTTTTACGTGATTTAAATGCTAATGAACTTTCATTAATTTATCCACAAGCATCATCAATATTAGCATCTTTACCAGCACCTAATGTAAATACATATTGTTTTTATGGTGTTAATATTTCAACACCAATTGGTTATATATCAAAATCAGATCAATTTATAAGTAATCAATTAGAAACAATTTATGGTTGGGGTGATGGAGAACAAGATGATACAACAAATATGTCATGTCAATTATGGAAAAAAACAATGGATATTAAATATAAATTAATTTTAAAAGGATTTGATAGAGTTAATCATTTAGCACTTGTAGGAAATGATTATGTAATTGAAGAGATTGATCAGATTATTTTTTCATAAGATATATTTTATTAATAAGTCATTTTGTTATGTGTAAAAATAAAATATCGTTACTAAATAGAAAGATTAAAAAAATCCAATAAGCAATTTATTAGAATATTATATAAGGTATTTTCTGTAAGAAAATAAAAAACTCTTGTCCATTTAGATAGTGATTAACTTCTTTTTCGATTTTTTTTTTTATTGATAAATCATTAATATTAAAGAAAAGAAAAGAAAAATACTTATTCGTGTTTAAAAAAAAGTCGAATATAGGATCGATAATATTCAATATAGAAAATACAAAGGACGATAAAAACAAATTTCTAACAATGATTGTCTGATTAAACTTATGCGTGTGTTTTATTAATAATCACAATTATAATATGATTATGAAATATATTGTTTCTAGATTAAAATAATAAATAAATATATATATATATATATATGTAAGTTTGTTTTTATGTATCATTTGATTTTTCCCATTGTAAATTGAATCGAACAATGTCGTCTATAACACGATCAATATTTTTTTCCGGAAGTAATTTCTCAACAATATCTCGAGCTGCTTTAATATCTCTATCATGTTCATTTGTTTGTGTATGAAAAATAAGTTCGTCAATTTGAGTCCAATATGCTGCAAGCATTTGTGCCAAAATCATCATTTGTCGATTATTTCCATATGCACCACAACCCCACCAACCTGTATGAATTATTGTACGAAAACGAGTATTACTACTACGATTAGAAGATCGTCGACTTTTTGTATTTAATGCATAAGT